GAAAATAATCGGTCTTACCTATGGTGTCTGTCAGAGACAAATGTAGGATTGCCTTTTTTTAATTGATCCACGAACTGAAACGATAAGATGGTATCTAGTATCAAAAAGAGAAGACCTGAGCCAATTCGATACTAAAGAAACAAGATGTGACGCATAGAATCTATGGGTGACAGAAAATTGTAGCGAGTCTATAAGAAGCCACATTAATGCAAAAAGTTCAACAAGTTTGACAGATATGAAGATCAAAAACAATTCTTATTGAGAATAGGCACTAAAGAAAGGTCGTCCCGAAACGAATAAAAGAGATTAGATCGTATTTATACAAAAGTGATCAATACACAAATGTTAACCACAGTCATACTGGCTGATAATGGTGGTATTTATATTTAAAAATTAGTAGTAATATTCGTTTTAATATTGAGAATTTTGCATTTATCGGTAGTTTTATAATCCAGTCTTCTTCTTGAAGTTTGTTACACATGTATGTGTACCAATTTATTGAAGTGACTCTTAAGCACGTTAGTTATATTATTATTATGACTTCGTTTAAAAGTGTTCCCGAAATGACTCTCGACTCTGGCATAATTCTTAATAACGGGTAGAATTTCGAGAATATATATATTTTTGTGCGTGCCTCTTCACGGAAAAGATTCTCGATGTATGACATAACAGACTCCTCTTGTTAGTTTTCTTCAAAAGGATGAGAGGCTCGTGTTTTGGACGCTACTGACTTCGAATGATGTTTTGCAATTTTCAGCTGGGCTATCCGATCAAAGAAGAGTTTGATTCGAAAATACGTGACTTTCCACGACGAGCCAGACGTTTGATCAGTCAGTTATCTACGTAAAAATGATTGAAGTAAAAATAACTGGATTTAAATTATACAAACGTGTGTACTGTGGATGAATACAGGTGTAGTGATGACTCGACTGTTAGCTTAAGCTAAAACACCTTCACACTTGCAACAAATAGTTGCTACTACTTATATTGCCATATTATAAGACTCAGTGTGTTTCAAGTTGCTTCTATAAAATTGAGGAAGCACACGCAGAAGATATTTTCAGACTTTTCGCATAAAATAAGAGACGTGAACCAATGTTTTCGCAGCTCAAACTGACTCACAGGCAAAAATTTGGTAGAGATATTAGGATGGCCCAATTTAGAGTGTTCAGTCTCAGAAAATAACTAATAAACATATTTGTAGGACAACATTGTGGATACCCCTTAATTCAAATTGTTTAATCAGGGGGGGGGCGATTTTTCCAATCCCGCATATGATGTCACTTTTGTTAATTTATTTGATTTTACGACGGGTGTTGGAAAAAGGTCAATAACGAAAAAAGTATTGGATATCTGGGAACACCCTTCTGCTCTCCCATTTCATGCAGAGGTATTGTTCATACTTAAATATGTTGTCGTAAACAATAATTCGTTAAGAACCATTTTAAATAAGTTCCTATTGTAGCCTGGAGTTCCTTGCATCCTGGACTGCACCCACAACGATGATGCTTGTAAATCTGTAGAAAAAAGAGAGTCTGAAGAGAAACAAAAATAGACAATAAGTGAAAAGTAACCCTGAACATCAGCAATAAAACATTATATGTGTTGAAAACAATATAATAAATGTTATTGGGTCGAAAGGCTATAACTTTGAAATAGCCCCTTTGTATATGGTGTTTTTTAAGCTCGAACACGTAGGTCAAACGTGACCAAGTTATCATACTGTTAGACCTTTATAGTTAACCGAGACGAACATCGGTAACTCGATGATTAGCGCACAACCCGGGACTCACGAGTTCGAATCTATGCCTCAGATATTTGATTCTGCACCATGGATGTTGTGTTGTCTATATCACGGACGTGGGGGAATTATTAATACATCTCATCGCTGGAGTTGGCTTATTTTATCAGTCACAAGTGGATAGCACGTGGGGTAGTGCAATGTTTTGGTACTATGAGGTCGGCAAAAAGGGTCAAAGGTGACCTTACTACCCCACCACTACTGCACTACTACGAGTTGGCCTATCGTATATTCCTGCAGTATAGTGCGGCCGTTGGATCACATCTTTAAATACATTGTAATAGGAAATATCAAGCAACAAAAATAAATTGGATAATTCCATTTGTAGTTTAATCTTCCTATATTACGGTAATCTACGTAGTATGTCAGGTATGATAGCATGCAAACACTTTTTATATCCGGTTATTCCGGAACTTCCAACGGTCTATCGTGGGACAGTCTAGAAATAGAAACTCCATGTACGCCACACTGTTGATGCACTCTCGGAATGATGTCGGTAATGCCAGCCCTGTAGGGTGGATAATGCTACCCCAGTGTTAAATACCTAGGCGAAATATTCGACCAATTGGAAATAATTCATAGTTTCACAGTCACATAACGTGGCCTACCGTTACCGTTCGAAAATGGCCATTATATGAACAAATAATCGACATACGAGATACAACCCTCTTCGTTAGATAGTAAATATTTGGCCAAAAATGATGGGTCTAGTCCAGCGAATATCTGCATTGAGGTGGTTAAAAGTTGGTGAGTCAGTTTTGAAGTATTTAGCCCTTTTGTATGTTCTTATCCTTATCAAAATAACGACATTTCTCAGTGTAGAAAATGCTACCATTTTAATAAAACAGAAAAGAATTGCTGGAATGAGAAGATATGTTCTAACTGTGTGAACAGTCACGAAGGAGAAAATTGTAAGCATGGATCAATGGAATGTTGCAACTGTAGATATGGAAATGAGAGGTATACAAAAAATTATAATATCAACACCAATCACCTACCGGCAAAAACTGTTCATCGTTCAAATATTATCAGGAACAACAAAACTTAAGGATACTTTTTTAAAATTCAAGTTAATCTTTTGATACTTCTATCTCTAAAGAGAACCTAAAAATGTCAGTAAATAGATACATTAGTGACTTCCAAATTCCACGTATTGCAACAAATATAGTACAAAGCGTCAATGAACTTAATTTGTGTACACAAAATTCTTATGCAAAATTACGAATTTTTTAAATGAACATAAGGAGTATAAAACACACCATTAACTAACTTAAAATACTATGACCAAATATGGTATAATTTTGATGTAATAGTTTTAACTGAAACGTGGCAAGTGGTTGATATTACTTGCTTCAGTCAGCAAGGATATGACACGCTATATAACCCTTGCACTTATAACCGAAGCGATGGGGTGATAGTTTTTGTAAGAAATAAGCTCGAATATAATCATGATACATTCACTTTCAACGATGAAATCAAAATTCTACACATAATGATCCAAATTAACCATAGCAAAATTCTGCAATTTATCATCCACTATGCTCAGCACACCACGAGTTTTTAATGAATATAGATTTTTTTTCAAAATCAGAATAACCTTCATTCAAAGCAACATATTTCCTTGGGAGATATCAATATAAATATTTTGGACGATGATCCCATTACAAATGAATACTTGAATATCTTGTCAAGTAACGGATTTCTGTCATATATAAACCGACCTACAAGGTCCATCAATGGTACATGTATCGATCACTGCTTTGTGAAAGACCTATCCAACAAAATTACTTCTATTCCAATAATCTAAGAAAGCGATATTACTGACCAGTTATCCACTATTTTACTGATATATTCAAATGAAAGACATTCTAACACCTCTACCGTTAGTAACAACCAGGAAAATTGCAAATCTGTTGTCGACAATTCAAAACTAATATCGAATGTCAAACAAGAATCTTGGGAACAATTACATTCTATAAATAATATAGACAAAGCATACGGGACTATTCATAGAGAAAGTAAAAAGAATAATAAATATTAGTATCAATAAAGTAAGAATTAGATCAAAAAAGCTGAAATGCCTGGGTTACCAAAGGATTAATAACATCGCCAATAGAAAAAGAATGACTCTATAAAGTGATGAAACTAACGCCAACTACAGAAAATATCAACTGTTACAACCAATATAAAACTAAATTCATAGAGCTTGCAAGGCAAACAAAACGAAAGCATTACCTAAATAATTTGAATAATAACTTACTCCTTTCATCCCTCCCGCTTCACGGGTCATGTATACATCACATGTATAAATTACTCTCAAATACCGAATATGCACAATTCTTACATTAACTCAGTAATAATGTTGTATAGAAAGATTTTATAATGCGGTCTTCCAAACTGCATTTTTTTTTGAAGTGGCCCTTGGGCCACATTAAGTTGGACAGCCCTGACTTAAATGATCCTAGGCGGCTTTGGACAACTATTGATGAGATTACTGAAAAAACAGAATTTAAAGAGTGTGTCACTGAGTTAAATACAACATCTGGAAAAGTATTTAAAAATATTCAAAAAATATGTGACGAATTTGTACAATTTTTTACATAGATGAAAACTTAGCAGGTAACATTCAAGCAATTGTGCCCAATACTCAGTTTCCAAAAAGGTATTTGAACTCATTTATTTTGGATAAAGTCGAGCAATGTGAAGTATACACCACTGCTATGTCCTTAAAAAAGTCCTGGGTTCGACGGTATTAGAAGCGAGCATTTGAAAATTATAGCCAAGGGCATAACAGAACCACTCACTTACCTAATCAAAAAAATGCTTTGAATCTGGCATAATATATCCCTCAATTTTAAAAAAAGGTAATATAATACCGATACATAAACCAGGAAAAAAGCACATGTTAATAACTATAGACCAATATCAATAATATCGGGTGTAGCAAAAGTTTTTGAAAAAGTTTCATCTGCTAGAATGATCCAATACCTCACAGAATTCAAAATTTTGAGTGAGAATCAATATGGATTTACAGAAGGGAAGGCTACATCAGACGCAATAGTTAAGATTGTACATCAAATACATAAAAATGTTGATAATAAAATCCCTTCTATCTTCATTTTTGTTGATTTGTAGAAAGCTTTCGACACAGTTAATCACAAATTATTATTATAAGCATTGAAAAGAATTGGTTTCCGAGGAAACGCGTACTCACTGATCGAAAATTATCTGTCAAATCGCCCACAATCTGTCCAGATATCAGGATCGTTCCAAATTAATTGTGTTGGCAAAATAATGATACTGCAATATTATATGAAGACACTGACTGGTCTATCTAATAAATATAATTGAAAATTATTTTATAAAAATTATTCGGTGGTTTGATAGTACAAAATTAAGCACTAACTATTGTAAAACACATTTTTTACCATTAGGATTTTATGCTAGACATCTGCCAAATTACACAAATTCATCCTTCAACATTAATGATCAAAAAATGCAAATTAATAGAGTGCCCAACATAAAATACCTTGGAGTGGTCTTCGATCCTCACTTACGTTGGGGCATCCATGTCAATTTTATTTCATAGAAAGTCAGATTTGTATCCTATAAAATTAAATACCTTGCGAATATATTGACAGAAAAATATTTTCGAACATTATACCATGCACTGATTGCATGATATTAGCATGTTCCTCACATATCTATAATATAGATGTTTTTCAAAAAAGTATTCAAAGAATAATGTTTAATATATGACACAAGACAGCTTTATTTCTTACACAGTATCACTCGCTACCATACATTTCTCAACCCCGACCAAAAAATTAAACATAATTATTACACAAGGTACAAAATTCGTTCCTCAGCCGCATAAATCTATAGTGCAGCAGTCATATCTCTATTTAGCGACAAAACTTTATGAAATTATACCTAAAGACCTAAAAGATTTAAATTTCAAAAGAGACTTAGAAAAGTGGCTACATTCCATATCTAGGACTGAAATTCATAAACTCATAAATACGAACATCAAGTAAATACGTGATCTACTGTGCCTAATTTTTGTCCTTCTTTGTCATTTGCATTCTACAGTTGCAACTTAAAATTTTTATGTACAGGCAATGACTTCTATTGGGCCTGTTTTGATTTTATATTTATTTACTGTTTGTTCTCTTTGTACATTGAGTGAATAAATTTTATTGTTATTATTATTAATATTATTATTATTTATCACCGGATTACATCTACGTTGCAAAAATTTAAATCCGCCAAATTGAACTTGCGAATAAGAATTGAGATCCATAACTTTTTTGCTAAACCTTTCTTGATACCATTGCTTACCTCAGAGATAAAAGCAAACAAATCATGTCAAGTGAAATTTCGTCATTAGCCCTTTAAAATGACGTGGTGAGATATCAGTTCAACTATGTTTGTAACCCAGTTAGGTAGGATTCTTCCAGGGGTGAATCCAGTTGTTGATTTAATTTGACCCAAAACGATTCTCTTCGTCTTTTTTGGCTTTGCTCCTCGCAACCAACATTTTCATTTTGTCAGTCCTTTGTGTGTCATGTCTTTCATGATCCTTGGCTCTCTGGGTGGATCCATTTGTACGATATGCAGTCCACAGTATTGGAAGGATTCCTTGTAATCTAAGATCCCAGCGCTGCCAGTCATTAATTATTTTATGAAAGCCAAAGCATGAAGCATTAAATAACATTTACGTATATATGTAGTTTGTAAAACATCACTACAAAGTAGTATTCAGCACTACCAGACACTTCCCGCCGGCCACAACTTTTGCCGGATGCTTTAAACAAAAGCTCTCGCCATATATTGTGTTTAATCGCCCATGTGCCGTCTTAAAATATGGAATGATGGCTTCGTGCAATCCCAGCATGTTACATATATTTTAGACTATTGTAGTAACAAACTGTATAGGAATGCAAAAATGAAAAAAAAAAACAAGCGAAGTGTCACCTCGTTGACACAAACAAAATGTGTCGTCAAAAAAGTGTCAATTGTACTGTCGTACCCGTTGGAACCGAAACGTATACAATAAAGTAAACATTTTAAACACATGGTTTGATTGTCCAGACAAACATGGGGGCTATCAAGATGAACATTTTCATATGTTACATAAATTGTCTTCTCCCAAACTTCTTTGTATGAGCATTTAAGGAAAATTTTTTATACAAAGGCTATAGAGTCTTTATTGTATACAGGGTACTAGTGCTATCGGACAGTGTCCGGCTTAACAAAATACAGCTTTTTTCGATAGGACTTTTTTTAACATATCCTATATACTTTCAAGATAACAACTTTATGTTAGACACTATAATTTTTATTTGAAACTATTTTTCGTCACACAAATCAGTTAGAGAGGTCAATTTATAGCGGGACACCTTATTTAAAGCATCTGGCAGAAGTTATGACTTGCGAAATATGTATGGCAGCGCTAAATATTGCTCTGTAATAACGTTTTACCTAGTATATTTAGGAGTTCGTCATCACAATTGATGTACAGTTAGTCTTATTTTCTCTTATGGTACCATATGACCTACGGTCATAGTCTAGGTCATGGGCGTACTTTAACATAGAGTTTAAAGCCCTTTTTATTTCCGGTGTAAAGGTAACTGTCTTGACATTCGGATGAGTTTGAAGGTCATGTGCAAGGAGACTATTGGATCTTATGAAGATCATGGTCAAGTTCATGGGTAAAGATATACTCTCTCGGAAACTTTTCTGCTCTTTACATGTCCGACGTTAAAGTTAAGGGTTTCATTTAAGAGGTTGGTCTTCAAATGATCTTGAAGGTCATTGTCAAGGTCACATTCAAGATCACCTTACAGCTTCTATACTTTCCTCTAGGAAATATATTTTTTTTAGGTAACATATTTTTACCTTGAGTTTCAATTAGCAAATTTGTACATCTCTCCGTATAGTGGTTCAGATGTGATGCTGACAGGCAGGACAGACATTCACACTTATAATATATATTGATTAGAGAGAGGCAAATTGGAACAAGGGGTGAATCGTATTAAAATAACCGTGTCAACGCCTTATCCTCAATATTAACGGGCTTTTTATTTTGATCCGATACACCCATTGACCCGATTCGCCTCGATCTACCATATAGATTGACGTAGACAACACTCATCAGACAAAAAGGCAGAAAATAGAAAATAAATTTAAAAAAAGTTATGAGTCGAGCACTGATTTGTGAACTGCAATATGTCACTATACACAACCGCGGCAATCTGTTGAATAGAAGTTGAACTTTGTAAAGTCTTATCTGGACTATAAAATTTATCCAAGCTCAGGATACTCCATTATTTAACTAAACAAAGTGGATATTCAATATTGTTAATTAGTGCTCAACAGGGATGCTAATAGTTTATATTCCGATCGCCGGCAAAATAATATGCTAGTTTTGGCATACAGGTTTTGCTCTATTATCTGTTGCTCTATTTACTATTGTTTGCTATTGCTGATAACGGACCCGTTAAAGAACGGTAACGGTTACTACACCTGACCTATGGACAGGGTTAGTGGGTAATATACGGATATGTTGATTCTGGAAAGAATGAGTACAGCACCTTGTCTACGGATTTCACTCCAGAATTTGATCAAACAATAGCGATTTGAATATGACTAGTTTATTCTTTTGGTCTATATTTAATCCCGTTTCTACTTCCCATGTCATTGGCCAGGAAGTAAGAGTTGCCGAACGATTCCAAAAATGAGCTTTTATATTTGTTTGGCTGTTATAATGACACGAGAAATCATTCTGCCATTTCTTTAGCCTGTCTCACGATCGGTCTGTCTGCCCACCTATAAGTCGAAAAATACTGGTAGGATTTCAACTAAACTTTCACACAAGGTTACTGCTTTACCAAGGACGATACACCTTGGTAGCTTTTGAAAATTGGTCCACTAAACAAAAATCTGTGTGACATTTGAGAGACACCTGATCATTTTTGAAATTCTTTAGAGGTAAAGACTTGTAGCACAAGCGGTTGTATAGGCTAAGGGAAAGTGTATCTCAATTCTTTGCGGTAGTATATTCATGAACTTTTAGCCCAGTGGTCCCACGTATGTACCTATTAGGTACACTTTGCACATTTATTTTCCTGTACATTTGTCCTCAAGGGCCGTCTGTCACGATGCGAAATCTTGAGCTAAATTTCCTACAGAATTTAATACTAAAATTCCGAACAAAATTAAGGACAGTGTTAGTCAGCATTTAGTACCTACATCATTTTGTGTAAACAAATTTAGTGGAAAATTTCGTAGAAACTGTTCTAACTAATATCATACTAAAAGTAGACGACTACTGCGCGTTTGTAGCAGTACAATGGCTGATAAAACCTTAAACCAGCGTTTACACACATGTTTTGTGCTACGGCGCTCAGCAGCTACAAATTCGAGAAAATCTCCCAGAACTAAGGGATGATGAAGACTTTGTTGAAGCAGTAGAAATAATAACAAATACTAGAAGACAACTGAAGAAATACATATATAGAATTGATCTCTTTGTAGTGTGGAATGATGGCAAATTCATTCAAAATTTTCGACTTTCCAAACAAGGTGTTCGATTTGTTATAAATCAGGTCAGAGCACAAATAATGTTACCAACAAATTAGTTAGTATCCTTCTTCAAATATTAACTAAATTAACATTAATAATACATAATTTATTTTCAGGAATCATGCTTTACCTGTGGATCAAATGGTTCTTGTTATTTTAGATATTGTGCGACAGGAAACTTTTTTCAAACCCTTGGAGACTTAGTTGGCATTGATAAAATTACAGCAAGTCGAATTATAAAATAAAAAGCTATATCAAATTTATTCCTTGTTTCATTAAATCAACCAAATACATCTGATACTCTATCGTAACTTAAGCAAAGTGTTATATAAAGAATTTATTGGTTCAGAAATATCATCCATAAATATCTAATAAGTTTGAGTTTTTTATTTTTGGTAGCACAACATGTTTTTCTAGTGATAAATTTTCAATTTTTAATTTATTGAACTTATTCCATCAATTGTTACTCCTGCCTCCTGTTCTATTTCTTTCAATTTGTGCCCGATTATTTTCTGAGAAAATCACATTCCGTATCACACTTTTGTTGCATCAATTCAATATTTCTTTTATCTTCCTCCTCAGCGAATCTTACCTTTTCAGTGAAATATTGAATAAAATCGTGAAAATTCGACTGTATTATAAGCAAGACCACTTTTTGATTCCAGCATGATGTTTTTGTACAGAAAAAACAGGACAACTTTCATGTATTTTGATATATGTTATAGGTTTACATTTAACAATCCGTTATCCCCCTCAGCGAATGGGAAGGCGGCAAATAATAGGTCGATTTTCTAGCTGTTAAATTTGGCAGAAGATTTGTTATTGCATGGCACTCTCGAATTTACCAACTTCAATATACTGAAAGTTATCATTACATACCTGTTGAATAGTGTGGATTTGTCTGTATTTTGCTTGAGAATAGAATATAAAATACATTCCATCCAATTCATCATATTCCTTTACGTCATAATAGTAATCATTTATTAATTTATGGGTTAATGAATTTCTTCAAAGCAATAAAAACATTATGTCCTCTCCATCCTAAAACACAGATAATATGTGTAAGACGTGCCAATCCCTACATCTCCCTGATGCATAATGCAATTACTATGGACATAGACAAAGAATTATGAAAAATGTTTCACAAATAATGTCCTTTTAAGTCCAAAAATCATCAAAACTAGTAATGTTTATTGTTTGTGTTTTTGACTGGTGGTCGTTGACTGGCGGGCATATCTATCTGTCACTCGAGGGTGGCCAAGTCTAACGACGATCACGTCTCGTGGTGGAGGGTGCGAAATGAATCTTTTACTGGGTTTGCATTTTTTTCGTGAAAATTTACTAGGTATCATGATTATAAGCATCTTTGGTAGATTGTTCGATCCGGAATGGGAAAGATCTCCTATTTATGAAAATATTTTTGGTATCATCTAACCCTTGCAATCAGTGC